TATTAAGGTAGATTACACTTTTTCAGTACCGACACTATAAAGAAATATATTCATACAGATAATTATTAGCAGTGTTCTATCCAACCAGAGTATCGAAAGGGCAGCAGTGCTCAATATATTATTGATAACACAATATTAAAATGATGAACATGTTTTGATGCAGATAAAAAAAAAGAATAATTTGAGATATAACTATAGCTTAGGTACATGCGCACGCGCATCCATACATTGGTTTATTTGCATGATATGCTAATTCAAAGAGGCAAAATGCTTAAACTGTAGTAGACTTAAAACAACTGACGAAGAGAATGATAATGATCAGATTTAAAAATATTTTTGTATAATTTTCTTTTGTACTATTTTATTTAAATATTAAAATATGTGATAGAGATAAGAAGTTTTAAAATGTGAATCTAGAAAATTCGGAATATGATTTCTTTTTTGTTTTGTCGCATTTCCTAGCTTGTCAAAATATTTTAATCCTGAATATTTTAATTAAAAGAAATTCTTTTCGAATAATCTTAATTTTTCTGTGGAATGGGATGAATGTAGTTTTTCAGTCAACATTAGGAACGGTCAAATTTTTATTCAGAAAAGTGACGAGTTTTTCTTAAGACTAAATTTTCTGTGTTAGCTTTAAAGCAAAATAAAAAGAAATCAGTAAACTATGTATTTATATCATTTGAAGCATCGAAAAAAAATTATACCAAAAAAATTGTTTCTTTTTGAAGAAGGAATATTTCATTAGATAATGCGTTGTTAGATCAAACGGTTTCGTACTTTTTAACATTTACTTGATTCTCTTTGTATATGACTTGAATTATGTATGATCTACTTATTTTGACTAAAGTCAACATTCTTATAGAATAAGAAGTATTTGAATATTTGCATAGTATTCAAACCACACATTCTACTATTAAAAAATAATTAATACTTTTTTAATTCTTGAAAACATTATCTGTTCTTGTAATAATTCATTAGTTTGTTTTAGTTAATAGATACCTTTTATGAAGAATGTCATTTTTTTTGTCATGTTGGTTTTTTTATTTTTTTTTTCTATTCATATAGATTCATGTAGTACAGCTTCTTCTTCAACAAATAATGATCACATAAAGATTTCTACACCAGCAAATGGTCGAGTAGTAAAAACGAATTCAAATGGTATGGGAAACCATTATAAATCACTCAATACTATTACACATCATCAACAAACATCAAAAAATCTATCTAATGATAATAAAAATGATGCATTATCGGAGCAACAACAAACAACACGACCATCTACATCAATAAATACAAATCCTCGTTCTCATCCACCTGTTTCAGGAAATTTATTAACAAAAACTGTTTCAAATTCCATAGCTGATCTATCTATAGCAACACAAAATCATAAAGTTCCAACAACAACAATTCGTACAGCAACATTTCAATCCAAATTAGATAATTGTAATATTGAATCATGTAAAAAAATTCCTCTTTCACAAAGTTTTGATTGGGGAATGTTAGCAATAACAAATACAAATTTAATATTACTTTATAATAAAGATAAAAGTTCATTAGTTATATTTGATGCTAATGGACATGAGAATGAAGTAAAATAAAAAAAAAAAAAAAAAGAAATAAAATAAACTAGATTTATGAATATTTTTTTTTTCTTTAGAGAATTCAATGGTCCGATGGTGACATTAAAGATTTATGTATTTATCATGATGATAGTATAATTATAGTAGGTGAACATAAACAAGCATCAAAACCAATTGAATGTAAATTATATGTATGTAATTTAACACGAAAACAACTTGAACGTGAACGTGTTGTTGAACGTGGTCTTAATTGTCAACGTGTTGCATCAGATGAACAATTTATTTTTTATGCATCAGAAAAAGGTTGTAATAAATCTAAAGTATCTGTATTTGATAATGAATTACAATTACAAATAACATTTGAATCTGGTGTTGAAATACGAAGTTTAGGTGTTGATATACAATGTTGCTATATATTAGGCAAAAGACGTGAACGTGAACCAGGAAGATATTTTCTTGAAAAACGACAAAAAAATGGTAAATTTTATTAATTTAATTTAATTAAAAGCACTTCTTTTTTTCTTTCTTCTATCAACTAGGTCAACTTGTTCGTCGCATTGATCTATATGAAATAAATGTTGATAATATGAATCGATTAATTATTGATCCAGTTAGTCGTGGTGTTATTGTAACCGATGGGGGTAATAAAAAAATCTGGGCTATTGGACCAGAAGGTGAAAAAAAATCAATTCAATATCGACCATGGCGTAAGCTGTTTCTTTTTATTAATCTTAAAATTTATGTATTTATTTTGTTTTCTTCTTTTTTTTTCTAGCATGGTGTGTAGGATTTTTAACCAATGATACTTTACTGATATTGCATGCTGGTTGTTTAACTTTTCATGCATCTAATAATAATAATAATAATAATAAACAGCTGAATAATGGAACAAAAATACGAAATGTTATTCCTAATGCTGAAAAAGTTTAAACTTTTTGTACTTTAAAAAAGAATTTTGAGATAATAGAACTGAAAAGATCTTTTAGTGTTTAAATAAATTGTTTTTTTTTTTCTTCTTGTGATTTTTGATTTATTGTTCACACAAAACAAAAGTGAAAACTTAATGAAAGATAGAAAATTTGAAAATAAATAATTATTGATGATGATGGTTTCTGCGCTTTACAAGAAGAATAACTGAACAAGTACTATTTTCAATTCTATGAAAGCAAAATGTATTCCAATACGATTTCATCATCTCATCTTATAGAAAATTTTTAAAGATAAAATGTATGTGAATCAACAGAACCCCACTATTGAGGATCATAATGTAAACTACACACCTCCAACAGTGATACATGTATCCGATGGAATTGTAGCAATATCTTTGATATGAAATTTTTCTGTACTTTGATAAAGAATTATTAATGATGCAATAGAATATATGCGTACAGTTTCTCGACTGAACATATCCAAGTAGGTCATGTCAGAAATTATATCGGATGAGGAAATATTGTCTTTAGTTTTAGGATAAAAAATGAGCATCGATATCTTATAATTCTTTTTATTCATCAGCATCAGCTTCAAGAACATGGAAGAAGAAAGACAATCAAGAAATATAATTTTATTAAAATATACTTACGAAAGGGATAAAAATTTTGGGTACATATTAGTAATTAGTATGTTTTCGAATAGGTCGTGCATCAATGTCTGCTTCATTATTGATTACAATTGATACTCAAAATTCTAAATTAAAATTCAAGTTTGTGGTCGAACAAAGAAGAAACTATGTACTTGAATAATATCTTCATCAGATGTCGATTCGAGCATCAACCACAACAGATCAATTCAATGTGTTAGACCAACTTGTTGATGCTTATCAATAACGTTTTTTGTTTTTTTCATAATTGATATTATTGAATTTTCATTAATAAAAGTTTTTCTAATATGAAAACCATAAGGAATATCAAATAATATCTTGTAAGAAACTATTATGTATAAAATATTGAGTAATATGATTTCAAGAATCATGACTGAAATCTTTAAAAGAATACTTTTCATTGTGAATAAATCAATAGATCTTACATTGAAAATTTTCATTCATATGTGTATAGAGTATTTCAAGTCTTCATGGTAAATTGACTTGAACTGGAAAGAAACGATGTAATATTTCTAATGTTTTAAAGATTTATTATGGTTTCCGTTTACTTTATCGAATGTATAAGTTTCTTTTCGTTGTGTTTTAGAAAGAAAAAATTCTTGTAAAAGTAACAAGGAGTAATTTTCGTGGCAGAAGTTCAATTTCACACAATGATATTCAACAAAAACCCATTAAAAACGCAAATTAAAAATTTTTAAAAAGAAAATTCATTGATTTACAATATTTTTGAAGGGAGACATAGAAAAATATGTTAATGTGTTAAATGATTAATATTCTGTTAAATTGTTCACAAAATGTTTAGAATCAGTTCACATAAACAATGAGCATTTTCGCATATCGTTGCGAGTAGACAACATCACTAGTTGAATAGAAAGACTGTGGTTAAACCAAATCCAATGGATATTTTTTCTACTAGTAAGAAGGACTTGCAAAATTTTGTTTATAAAGCTAAAGTTTATAAATATTCCTGGAAACTATAAATGTCGCATGCAATAGGGAGAAAATAATTTTTCACGAGCGTTGAACATAAACAAGGGGACTTTCTCCTGAGAGGCTTGAGTTTTTTCATCATTCCGATCTTTTCACCATTCAGATGTTCTTCTCTAACTATATAAATATTTGAATGACACTGTGAAAAATAAGAGAGCTAGGTTTAAGTTTTGTGACTGTCAAAGCCCTAAAATCATGTCAGTGTCATCCATCGAATTCTTATCGAACTTTTTGATGAACAAGGAACGAATTGCTTTGAAGAAACGTATCAGTTACTCAAAATTTTTCAAGCTCTGTTATGCAAATGTATATGAAGTAAGGGAAGGACATCTGGATAACGAAAAGTGCAGAATGAAGCAAAAAAAATTAAAATAACTCAGGGGAAAGCGGTGTGTTGCGCTCTTCGAAACTCAAACAAAAAGGTTTTTTACGTATGGGATATGAAATTTATAATTTTCAGGTGCATTTCTAAACTTTAACTTGATGAATAATGCTTGCAAGCCTCCTCTATCGGTAGAAAAAGACATTTAATTTAGTTAAACTTCAGTAGAGGTAAATAGCTATGGTTTTGCCAGGTGACTTTTTGGACACTATGTGATTTCTTTTAATCAATTGAAAATGATCATTTCTGACTTTCCAACATCATTAATGCATTATTGTTTGTCAACTTATTTTTTCGCAACAAAATACAGGATGACTCATGGGAAACTTCGTTATTTTTATTTTATTCTTTGTGTAAGATGAAGTCGTTCACTTATTGACATTGTGACGTGCTTTTTTTGTTTCGTTCTTTTTTTCTTTCATGTTCTCTTTATCAAGTCAACAAACTGATGGCGTCTTCATCGTCTAAAAAACCATGTTCGATAGAAAATGGTTGCAAACAAGCAGCGATCACCACTTGCGATGGGTGTTCACAAGCTTTTTGTTTTAAGCATTTCACTGATCATCGTAATCTACTCAATGATGAAATAAACAAAATTATTAGTGAACATGATGATCTGAAAAATTCACTTACTCAACAAACAAAAAATCCAACTTGTCATCCACTGATCAAACAAGTCGATGAATGGGAAACACAATCAATCTCAAAAATTCAACAACGAGCAAAAGAATTACGACAAGAGCTATCTGAATTAACGAAAAATAATACAAATAATTCGTCGCAGAAACTACAAGATTTAGCAAAAGAAATAAATGAATGTCGTGAAAATGGTGATTTTCTTGAGATAGATCTTCGTCGTTGGAAAGAAACGCTTGAAGATCTCAAACTACATATAACTTCACCATCAAAAATAACCATCAATAGAGTGAATGAAAATGCATTAATTCAAAATATCTCTGTGAATTTAAAGAACAAGACAACAAACGAAGTATTTGAGAGAGTATGTAACAATTGTGCGCAGATTCAAGAAAATGGTCACATGGTTGTCCACGTCGGCTCTCATAAATACGTGGAAGTTCGTGGAAAGAATGAATACAGCTCAGGGGTTCACAAAATTCGGCTATGCATTGAAGATTTCCCAGGACGATGGCTATTTTTTGGGATCAATTCTAAATCAACTCCTCTTACAGACAATTCTTATAGTGCAAAGTCAACATATGGATGGAGCAGCAACAACTATAGCTGGTCAAAGGGAGAATATAATAACGTTAGTTCAGTATATCCCATTGAGATGAAGAAAAATGATGTTATTAGTTTAATAATTGATTGTGACAGCTTGAAACTATCAATGATCAATGAGCGAACAAAAACAAAACAGGAATTAACGATTGACATAAATTACTGTCCTGTACCTTGGCAGTTCCAGGTTATTTTGTACGAAAAAGACACTCGCATACATATTTTACCAACAGGAATTACATCTTGATCAATTATGGTTCCATTAGAAAAAATTGCAGTAGAAAATATGTGCACTACTTGTTATGCTATTTTTGTATTTTCATATATAAAAAAGTATGGATAATAAGTTCATTGATTGAATATCCTAGATTGAAAGTTAACATGTTTCATTTCTTGTATAGAATAGCACAGAAAGATATAAGTATAATTAATAAAATATAATTATTTTATCATTGATTTTAAGGTTCTTGAGTAGAAGCTGTAGAAAAAAAAGAATTCTAACAAAAGACTTCTACCAATAAAGAGAACTATTTTTTATTTTGTAGGTGCTTTTGTTCACATCAAAGGTCACGCGTTGTTATCTTTATTGAAATAACCTATAAATATTACGATGAAATTATCTTTCTGAATTTTCACACATCTAGTTTAAAGAAGTTTTTGACAATTTCCTGAATGTCAGCTGTTATCATGTGATTCGAACTGGACAACTACTGGCAGTTTTTTCGGAGAGTGCTGCATCACAGTGTATTTTTGCAGTCTATTAAAAATGACATATTAAATCGATTTCGATTCACTCTGATAACATTGATGCATTTGAACCGTCTTTACTAGTCACATAGCACATGTTAGTCCGAGTTGCGAGACAATTTTTTTTAAACAAAATGGATCAAAATTAGCGTTATCGAAGAAAAGTTTGAGTATTTCAGCCATCTTTGGACCAAACAAACTGATATGTTTATTGTTAATAGAGGAGTGTTCATGAGTCATATCCATAAGAAAAACATTTTAAAAAATGCTTTGAGATATTACTTTTGATCTCAATTAAAGAGCTGATCTACCGTGGATAAGCAGAAAACATTGTTTCTCTAAGAAAAAAAAATACACGATATATATCGTTTTGTAGATTAATTCTTCAAACTATTGCTGTTGC